TAACAGCTAACCATCAATCAATCAATCAATCAATCAAATTTTATTTCTAAAGCGCTTTTCAAACAAAGTGTGATTCAAAGTGCTTTACAAAATGACCCCAGATTCCCATAACAGGTTAAAAACATTAACAAACATATGCAATCACACGCACACACACACAGACTCACACACACACACGAGTAAAAATTATATTAGGCTGAGTCCAGATGAGCCAAGTATGGTAACTAAAGGAAACGCCATCAGAGGAGCCGTCTGCCCCGGCAGCATCAGGTCTTCCACACTAAGTCAGGGCGCTCAGTGGAGGGGGAGCATAGACCCCCACCTATAGAGCGCCCAGGAAGCTACAGTCGACCACCGCTCCCGGGGCAGAGGGCCCCCACAGAGGAAACACTGGATTAAAACCACCGTAACCACCGTAAAGCAGGCAAAGAGTCGCCCCATAGGGCACCCACCTGCTCTATAAAACCATCTAATGTGGTTTTTGGTCAGCAGAGGGCATCAGAGTGATGTCCATGTTAAAGCTCTAGCTTAAAGCTTAAAAAACGATTTATTGTTACTTTAAATATGTTTTAGTCATCAAAACTGCAAACTTATGAATCCGTCTGGAAAATCTTTCCATCCTGACTGCATCACAATTAGACGTAAATTGCTTTAAAACATTCAAAATAAGAGTTCTGGACTCAAACGTAAAACTCAAAAAGACGTCTGAAGGTTGTAAAGGCTTTCATCTGTGCTGGGGGCGTCATGTTTTCATCCTGCAGACTATCAGAGACCACATACGTGACCTCATTCATTCTAACTGTTGAGAGGCAGCAAGAGTTAAATATAACAAAGCTACTTAAAGTCAACCACGGCCTCCCGTTTAGGGTTAACATCGGCATCAGCTGCTCCACCCACTTCCAAACAAAACTTTCAGGAAAACTTTAAACACGTTTAACTCAAATGAAGTCTGAAAAAACTCTTTTGCCCTCAAACCAAAACTCAGATTTCTGAAATGCTTGAATATTCCTCATTAGGTCTGAAACTCTGCAGCACCGCCGCTTCATCCTCTCAAATTCCACTTTGGGAATTAAATAAACCTGTTTAATTAAAGTTGTAAAACAATTTCACAGCCTTCCTTTGGGAAAAGCAGGAGCAACTCCGGATCTCTAAAAGCAACAGGCTGACAGACGGGTCCCGAGAGAGCGGCCACTTAAGAAAAGCCCGTCTTTAGCTCTTCTTTCTAATTTTACTTTATGGATTCTTTCCAACGTAACGTTCCAAGCTGAAGGAAATAAGTGATTGTAATGAGCCGGAAAGGCCCTGTAGGACACGGACGCACATGAAAGAGACGAGCTGCAGCCTCTCCTCTTCTGGGCTCAACCTGCCTCTCCTCGGTGGAGGAACTTAGTATTCAGAGTCTTTGTGCTGATGGAGATTTGGGCTTTTGGACTGGAGATGGAGCAGGTAATTGATGCCCGAGTGTCAAACTCCCTCTTTTCAAAGGCCTTGGAGGTGAGGAGGGATTAGAGCAGAGGAGGATGAAGGAGACGCTTCGGCCTGAGATGCATCAACCTGAAACCCGCAATTGATTAAAAGAAATCTGTCAGAGACCGATGGGTGTGCAGCAAAAGGAGCGCAGGTGGGCAGATAGTCCCGAGGTCTGCTGCTTCTGAATGAGAGGTATTGCAGGGAGAGGCGCTGAAACATCAGCGAGTTCAGAGCGCCACAGCCATTCAACCACCCTGCCTCGGTCATTTCTCTCACAGGCTGCGATGATGAAAGGCCAAAGCAAGAATCTTGAAAGCCGTCTGTTTTCAGATGGAGTGCTGAGCCGTGTGCTCGCCCGTTGATTATACACAGGACAGATACCAATGGAGGCATGGGGTTTCACTCTGCCACCGCGACGGCGGTAAGCACTCGTCGTCACACGGAGAGGCCCTCTTAGCACAAAGTAAAGGCTGATTGCACATCAACAGGCTGGCATTTGCACTTAAAGGCCACAAAGGGCTCCTGATTGCGCCGCTCGCTCCGTAGCAACAAACAGGCTGTGAGCTGTGATTACACGCTGACTCGCCGTTGAAGGATTAAAGCAGTCATGTGACCACGCACGCCACCCCTGTGGTCTGCAGCCCGGTTAACGGAAAGTCCAAACAGGAAGAAAGCACACTCCCTTTAACTATGAAGTTTAAGGTATGAGGTCACAATGTGCACAATCAGGTGTTGTGGCTGAAACCGTACCCCCGACTAAGACCGTGTTATAGCAATAACCTCATAGAAGCACCTCCAGCAAAGACCGGTCAGTAGACCATGAACATGTCTTTTTATCATCGCTGGGGGGAAGCTCACCCTAAGGTCAAAGGTCAATGCTCAGAGAAATGACAACCCCCCAGAGTTTAAAGAAAAGCTCTACAGGTTTCGGGTCAGAGGGCAAAGCCAGGCTGCTGCGTCTCTGAGCGGACTCACGGCTCGTCTGGTCTTATTTATGAAAACGATAAAACAGTGTTCTGCTTGTAAAACGAGCTGCGATCTAAACAAGCCCGATGCCGATCCGCGGTGTTTATCCGTGTCAGCTGATGATGCTCTGATCCTACCGCCCTCATAAACTTCCGCATGCTCCAGCTGAAGCCGACACATTTTCCTTCCTCCGGCGAGGGAAGCCTTGGCCTGAGATCACGACGCAGATTTGACCTGGAAATGTCGTTTTGTTGTGTTCTGTCGGGTTTGTTGTTGTTCTAATGTTAGATGTGACCCGTTTAAACGAGCCGGGAAACATGTTGCAGCTCCACGTTTAACTGCTGCTGTACTGAACCCGGTTTAAGCCTCAGCAGTGACCAGCGAGGAGGCTCATCCTCATTCTACCCTAAAACATCTGGTCGGGTCTTTGCAGCTGCACTCGGACATGGACAAAGGCGACGGCTCCATAAAGTACATCCTGACGGGCGAGGGGGCCGGCAGCACCTTCACAATTGACGACGGCACCGGGGACATCCACGCCATCCAGAGATTAGACCGGGAAGTTAAATCTCAGTACGTCCTGCGCGCCCAGGCCCGGAACCGGCTGACGGACAGGCCTTTGGAGCCAGAGTCCGAGTTCATCGTCAAAATCCAGGACATCAACGACAATGAGCCAAAGTTCCTAGATGGTCCCTACCAGGCCTCTGTGCCGGAAATGTCGAAAATAGGTGAGCATGACGGACAGGTCACTTCATTCCTCACCAGAGAGGGAGAAGCTCCACCCAAGTTTGTGGTTTTGGTAAATTAACTGATGCTTTGCTCCCAGGAACATCGGTGATCCAGGTGACCGCGACTGATGCCGACGACCCAACGTATGGCAACAGCGCTCGAGTGGTTTACAGCATCCTGGAGGGGCAGCCGTACTTCTCCGTGGACGCCAAGACGGGTTGGGAAACACACACGTTGCTAGGAAACGTGACGTTTAGATGCTGGATTCAGTTTTATGTTACCTTCACAAATCGAACCACACACGACCTGAAGTCTGCAGATGCAGCATCAGGATTAGTATCTTCACCAGGATCCTGCCTCATCCAGGTCTACCGCCCCCTGGTGGAGGATCTACATCTGACAAGGGCTCATTTTATTCCTTTACTAAGGTTTTATTCTGATATAATCACATAATAAACAGATTAGCTGTTATTTTAACGTTGGAAAAGAACTGGTTCAGTTTTAAAAGTTTATTTTTATTACTGTTTCATATTTCTGGGTCAAAGTACAACCTAACCCGGAAAAAGGCTCCTACGTGTACGGAAAGCAGATTAATTCTTTAAGTCTGGTTTTACAGAAACGACCCAGGCGATATTTAACAGACGAGACGTTTCTGCAGCCCAGCTGCAAGCCGCCGTCTGTTCTCGTTATCAGCAGCAAAGTCACGCTCCGAGTTTAGCACATCGCTCTCCGTCGAGTGCCAGGAGTTTCAGTGAGTTGCAACAAAAGAGCGGGGCATTTCAGAAAAGTGTCGGGTGGTCTCGTAGCAACAACAGGAGCCTCGCTGAGCTGCCCACACTTTGAGCCAGTTGGTTTACACGCGGGCACGAAGTTGGACGGCTAAAATCAGATCAGAGCAGTTACAGAAACAGAGCTGCTACCGTTCACCAGCTCGTCTTTCATCCTCGCTCACTTTGAGGTCATTTATGCTAACCTGACCTGATAAATTAGTTTTATTAGGTTTCAGATTTATTAGATCTACAGATTTCAGCACAACACCCCCGAGTAGATGAGTAAAAGTTAGAAATCCGTCCTTTCCTCTTGACCTTTAATCACAGCGAGCGCTCCTTTAGCTCTGTGCCTTCTGTCCCCAGGTGTGGTCCGCGTGTCCCTGGCAGACATGGACCGGGAGACCAGGGAGAACTACACCGTGGTCATCCAGGCCAAGGACATGGGCGGACAGCTGGGCGGGCTCGCCGGCACGACCACGGTCAACATCACGCTCAGCGACGTCAACGACAACCCGCCAGTGTTTGACCAGAGTAAGTCAACATTTGTCTCCAGTCCTAAACCCAAATTTACCCTCCATCATCTCTCCTGACGTTCTCAAGAGCTGGAAAACGAGCAACACTTAGTATTTGTCACCAGTGGAGAAAAGCAGCAGCCAGGAACAGAAAGCAGGAAGTAAGAGGGAACAGGCAGCTTCACCCTGTCTGGTTTGGAGGCTGCAGCTGGGCTTTTCTTCTTCTGTTTGTTAAAGAAAACTGTCCAATTACAGTAGGCAGAGCGAGGGCAAAACACAGCGGCAGAAAAGCACACCGCCATTATTCTCGACCCAGACCTCCAACACACCTGGGCTGGAACCTGGCGACATTTTTCCATTTGGCTTCATTTCCAATCATCAAAACATCTAAAAACAACACATTTTGATTCCATAACTCTGTTTGGACCGTCAGGCTTCCGTAGCACACTTTCGCTTTTATATCAGTGCTCATTATTTATTTAATTACTGAGTTTTCAAAGCTCAGCCGGCACCGTGTGTTTTTCCTGTGGTGAACGCAGCACGAGCCTCAAACCCAAAGCCTCGAAACGACCCGGTTCTTTTGCCCCGAGGCTTTTAAAAGTCGGTCTTCATCTAGAAGACTTGGTTTGTTTGTTTTGTAGTAATGTGTTCCAGGACTTCAGATGGTTCGTTATTTTCACACAAACTCCTCTGTCCACCTCATTTCCCAAGAGCATCCAGGTTATCAATCCTTCTGTCCACCAGTTTTTTACCTCCTGGCCTCCTCCTCTCGGACACCTCCTGCTGTCTCCTTGATTATCCACAATTCTTTTCCTTCCATCATCCTCCTCCTGGTGTCAGGAGGTTGCCTCTCTCTCTGTGGTCGTCTCCGCTCGGCCGACTGGTGGCTCCAGACCCCAGACAAAGAGAACACCTCCCTCACTAGTTATCTCTCACCAATTAGCGCCATGGCTCTGATGGGTTCTGATCGGGAAGTCCCCCGTGTGGAGCAGACGTCTCATAAGGAACTGTGGGAACCCCACAAACTGGGCAGCTGTCACCTCCTTTTTGAGGTTAAACAGTAGACGAAACCCAAGGAGACGGTGGACAAGCACGTGGGGAGGCGTTCATGGAGCATTTCTTTTCTCCTGCCTGATTGTGATTCAGAACACGGGAGATGAATGACAGGAGGAGCTTTGGCTCCCTCTAGAGGACAGAAGAGTGAAACACTTTGGGCTACTGTTTGTCCTCAGGGCTCTATCAGATGAGCGTTCCCGAGTCAGCTCCCGTGGGATCCGTGGTGGGTCGGATCTGGGCCAGGGACAGGGACATCGGGGTCAACGCTGAGATGAAATACAGCATCATCGATGGAGATGGGAGGGACACGTTCGACATCAGCACCGACCCCACCAACCTCTTCGGCATCATCACAGTGAAAAAGGTACCAAAACTAACGAGAGACTACTGGATTAAAATACATTATTTATTATAATAAGAGTTAAAGCTTCAAATTTTACTTCAGAAAATATTTATATTCTGTTCAGTTTTAACCATTATTACAGGTACGGAGAATCAAACGTTCCACATGGAAAATCCAGTAAAAATTAACATCAGTGAGTTTAAAAATGATATCTTTGTGTAATTTTCACATAACATTAATAAGTTAGTGTTTCCCCTGGGAAATTATGACACGTCTCACCTTTATGTTAATATTTTGTTTGATGCACTCCACTTTGAACTGCACCAATCCAGCAACTGCTGCATTTTAATAACTAGCATTGAAGGTGAATACACCAATATTTGCACAAGAATAATTTTTGTTTTAAACTCAGTGACATATTTTGCAGGGGGGGGGGGGTTGTTGGCATTTAATATTTCTTGGCGTCTGGAGAAACATCTCCTTTTGCCCCCCTTTATTTTGGTCCATCATTACTGGGCTGGCCCTGTTAAACACCTTCTACACCCCTGCTTAGTAGACTTAATGAAGTATTTTTAAGCCAGTATAAAAATGACTGAATCACAAATTTACATATTTGGCATCACTGACCAACATCTTTGATTTAATTTATTTGTTAAGAACATCAAGATGCATCACAGTGAACATTATAATAAAGTACATGCTTCTAGTGCAGAGAGGAGACAACCCATAGAAGCACTGGTCTGATCTCATTCCAGAGAAAAATAGAACAGATCAGAAGGTGCACGTAATAAATAAAATCACTAACATAAACTCAGGAATCTGTTTCTTTGCTTCGTTGTTCTGGTGCTGAAAACATCACTAATGTGGATCAAAGGAGACACACAGATGAATGCACCTCTTATTTATTATTTGGACATTAGTGGGTGTGGTTTACATCAATACATTATTTTAAGTCTGAAATTGATATGGGTTGATCAGAAGTTGATATGTGTATTGTTTATTTATAAACTATTATTTATCTGAAAACTATTTACAGAGCAGCCTCAGAACTGAGATTAAATATGTTTGATCACAATAGTAAAGGAACTATTACAGAACAAGTTTTTCAGTAAAATCAGAACATTAATATTTAAGTGCATGAATTAATACATCTGAACTCATGCAGTAGGAACTAGGAAATATGAAATACTAGAACCATTTTATTTTTATTTGATTAAACAGATTTTTTCATAACGTTGTTGGCATTTTCCCCACACACAGTTAAACAAAACTATGTTGATTGAGGTGTGTGTGTGAGAGAGAGAGAGAGTTAAAATAATAAAAAAAATAAACCCGACCGGAGCGGAGGCAGTGACGACGCATGCATGAGCCGTTTTCAGCTCTGTCTTGTCAAATGCACCACGCACGTTATGAAAAAAGCAACTTTAAATATTCAAGCGAAAAAGAGGCGAACTGAAGAAAACCTAGGGAGTACTGAAGAAACGTGAGCAACAGAGAAGCAATCACAGAGAGATCCGTTACTGTGTGTGTGTGTGTGTGTGTGTGTGTGTGTGTGCGTGCGTGCGTGTGTGTGTGTGTGTGTGCGTGTGTGCGTGTGTGTGCGTGTGTGCGTGCGTGCGTGGATGGGCCAGACGGGCTGAGCTCCCAGCTGCAGTTTTGTGTGTAGGGAGGGGCGGGCGCTCTATGTGACTGGCCAATCCCAGAGCGTGAAGACAGTCAGTTACCCAATGAGGATTTTCCTTCAGTACAATGACAGATATTTACGAGTTTTACTCGTTTCATTCTCGTATTTGTCAAAAATGCTTTGTCCGTACCGGATACTCGTCTGAAATGAGTATCCGGCTCATCCCTAGCTGTAACCACCCTGCCCCCTGCCGCCTCCCCCTTGCTGCCTGCAGGCTGTGATCACAAGCAACAACAGAGTAGTTGCCGCTGCTTCTTCGGGAAATGGCGCCAAAAAAATAAAAAATAAAAAAAATTCAATAAACCTTGGGATCTTGTAGGCGTGGTGCTGGGATATCAGCCGTGGCGGGCCGCCAAGGCTATGCCCATGTAAGGGAAACACTGTTAGTTAATTCATAATCTGTTCATCAAATTCTGGCACTTTTGACTCTCCGTACAGCGTGTCACTCTCCTAAACATGCAGAAGTATTTTTTTAAGTTGTAAATTTAAACCAACATTGAAAAGATCTAGCTTTTAAATTTTCGCAACAAAAGGTTGAGTAATAAATGACCAAAAGCTTTTAAATTAGTAAAAAGTTATTTAATTTAGGCACATTTATTCCTCCATTGCCCCGTTAAAAATAAGGATTTTTAGTGGCAGGTTGAAGAACGCACCGCAGAAAAAGTCGTTTATTCCCCCGTCGCTGAAGTAGCACAAAACACGGAGCAAACGTAGACAGAAACTATGGAAAATGTGAGTTTAGAGATGGCACGAAGAGGTGGAGGAGATAAACATCAGACTTAAGTAAATGTCGACATACGCGTTTTGTCTGAATTTGGCACTTTTGGCACTCCGTACTTTTGGTTGTTGAATCGTTGATTTTATATTTGTTTCCTGAAACTCACGTAGAAGTTTTGCATTCAAACTAATTTACTTTTGTTTTCTGCGGCTCTCCTCCAGCCGTTGAACTTTGAGAGCAAACCCAGCTACACCCTGAAGGTGGAGGGAACCAACACCCACCTGGACCCGTCCTTCCGCCATCGGGGGAACTTTAAGGACGTCACCATCGTGCATGTGAGCGTGGAGGACGTGGACGAGCCCCCGCTGTTTGACCAACCGGCGTACTACGTCGAGCTTCCGGAGGACGCCGAGATCGGGACGGTGGTGAAGACGGTGTCGGCCCGCGACCCGGATTCTGCCAACAACACTGTGAGGTGAGAAAGTTAAAACCAGCACATTTATTAATTTTACTGTGGAAAAATCCAAATTATTTTCTTTCAGGATGATTCAGAGTTTTATTTACAATTTAAAAAATGCTGCAAAAACCAAAGTTTCCCAGAAAAAGAAGCTGATCACTTAATGATGGAGAAATGAAGGCAAGTGGAGAAATTGGCTCAACAATTAAAAACGTAAGTCAGTCACTGAAAACACAGCTTAACAGCTTCTAGTAGCTCCCATATCCGGTCCCATACCTGTCTGTTGCCTCCAGGTTATAGTGAAGGATCACAGAGTAAAACAACTCATTTAGTTACCGTAAATCCTGTAATATTAGCCTGTATTTAATTAACTGCCGGGTATCATATTTTGGCCGGTGTCTGAGTCGGCGGAGGTGAATAATGGCCATTTTTTTTATTGTGGCCGGGTGGAATGTGGTAACAAGTAAGTACGGGGGGCGGTTGTGTCATCCGTCTCACTTTTGATTTGCCAGTGATAGACCGCGAGGGTGACTTTAACCGTGCGGAGACGAAGAGGAGGCAAAAATTTGTTATCAAGTTCAGATTCAGATTTTTCAGAGATAACATGCTGATTATACTGCAGAACACTCTGGGGAGCAGTAGGGGTTGTATGAACTAGTCACTAGTCGACTTCACCGCTCTATAGTGACTTGTTATGCCTGTCATCGACTAGTCGCTGTCACGTGATAATGACCGGCAAGATGCAGTCCACGGAAAAGACAGCAGCCTGCTGTCAGCAGGTGACAAGCTCCTGCGCGTCGGGAGGCAACGCGCTGTGCCAGAGCGTCGGTTCCGACACCCGCCGTAAAACGGACATTTAACCAAATTGTGACCTTTACCCTCTTGCAATTTAACCTTCCCCTCACCCCCGTCCTAACCTTAACCAGCGTGTGCATGCAAAGCTCTGGTTGTTGACGCGCTCCAGACATCTGCATCCTGAGCACGGCCACAGTAACATTATCAAATCAGGTGTCGCCACCTCGAAAACTAATTTAACACTCGATCGTTCATGTCGGATCATTTCCTATTAAGTTTTCTGTCTTTTATTCTTTTATTTGTGCCTGATGCGTGTCGCTGCTGTGGATCGGGACACATCACCTGTTTTGTCCTCGGTGACGCACCGATCACTGATGTGGCCGGCGAGCACTCCGCTGTTTTTGCGGTCGGTAGATCTTTTAGAACTGCAGTTCAAAGGTAACTCATGAGGTGAATATATATGAACCCAGGTAGCAGCTTCTCTTTAGGATTGAGAGGAGATGCAGGAAGATAATAAACAGGCAGGACAGAAAAATAGTCAAATAAAAACAAGTTAGTTTTTGTACCTGCTGGTTGCAACAAACAGACACCATTGAAGGTCATCAGAAGTGAGGAACAGAAAATGAAATAATTATTTTAATGTTTAGAGCAGCAGGAACTCCGAGAGGCTGCAGGCGCATCAGTGACTTTGCGGCCGCTGCGCAGGGGGAGGGGGGAGAGGGCTGAAGCAGGGGGAGGGGGCTGAAGCAGGAACTACCGTTGTTAAAAGAAATGTGTTTAACTTTGAAAATGTGGGCGCAACTTTAATTGTCAAAAACTCCAGCGAACCATTAGTTCATTTTGCTCAAATAGAAATTGAGGCCTGCCTCTAATTCTGGCCCTCCTTCCAATAAAGGCCGGGAGCTTGATGAGCTTGAGTCAAATACAAGCCCGGGCCTGTATTAGAGGATTTACGGTAACTGAAAGAACAGGTCGGGCTTTAAAACCAGATTTTAATCAGCAGGTGATTAACGGGCTTCAGCAGCTCTTGATGAGTTTCTGAGCAGGTGAAATGATGAATCCGGTGTGTTGGAGCAGAGAAACAACTGGGCACCTGCTTTAAATGGTTACAGAGCTAAAAGCCGGCGCTCCATGAGCATCCCGTTAGCATTTCTGATCAAAATAAGTCACCCGTCTCTGTCCATAACAGGTGTTGTGCAGGAAAAAAGGACCCCAGCTGTGAGCAGCCCCATTTGTGGGAGGTCTTTATTTTATGGTGCAGCAGTGGCAGAGGGGCCAAGTGTCTGCCTCATATGTGGAAGGTTGCAGGTTCGATCTCTGATCAGTCTGTCACTACTGTTCTGTGGCAGCTGTGGCTTTGAAGTAGCTCATCACACCCATCTTGTGTGTGTAAAGCGCCTTGGGCGGCTCTAGAACTCCAGAAGGTACCATATGGCTTACAAGCCATTTGATAAGGATATCTCCAAGGCAGGTCTTCAGCATTATTACTGATTAATTGGATTAAAATGACATTGATACATTGATAATGATCGGATTACTTATAAAAACATTGATACCTTCTAGATTAATACCAGTTTAAGTCAGCTCACACTTCAACAAGCTTCGGAAACCTAACGTTCGACTGACCTAGAGGTAAAAAAATATATACTAAACATTAAATATGTGACAAAACTGAATAATTTAGCTAACGTTTGTCTTAATTTTCCAACAGTTGATGTAATCTAAGCAAATAATCCAGTCAGATTTGTGATTATAGGTGTGAAAGTGTGTTGTAGTGCTGCCATCTGACCAGCAGAGAGCAGCATTGTAACAATAAACAGGTTAAAATCTACTATCAGCCTCCATGTTTATTGGGATTAGTGCAGGTGGGTGTGTGGTGGTGGGATTACTGCCCAGACTGCACCTCTTCTTAACTAATCACACGTTAAATCTTTTTATTAGGTCATTAATCATCTGAAGGCCTGTTTGCCTGAGAGGCTGCATCAGAAATGACCTCAGTTATTTTTTTATTTATTTGTATTTTGACAAACATCTCGTATAAAAAATAATGTTTGCCAGATTAAAGTTTAAGTGACTAAATGTTTGAAACCATTTATTGAAAAAATAAAAACTTTATATGAACAAAAGTATTAGAATTATGTTTCTTAACCTATTAAGTTTTGGCTATTTGACGTTAATCTTGATTTGGATATGAAAACGCTTTCCTCGTTGTGTGTTGGCCCTGTTTCCTCCCGAATAGTCGTTGCTCACGAAGGTTTTTTGCTTATGAACTCTTTAGAGTCATTCAGTCACACACTAGAGGATTGTCAACGTTTGTAGGATGCACTGAACAGCCGGTTTGCTCTGTGACGGTGCTGGCTGACCTTTGACCTTAAACAAATCCCTGTTTCCTAAACTGAGCAGAAAGACTCGGCAGCTCAGAGACCTGTAGCCTGGTCGGAGCATCGTTCAGATGTTCTCTAGAACCAGGAGGAGAGGAGATGGTGGAGCTGCTGCTGCAACAGACGGCCGATAACAACCAGCAGCAGCAGCGACCTTCAGCTTCCCCATCAGCCTCGTTCCCGTTTCACCTCTCTGTCCTTTAGCGCCTGGAACATGGCCGTTAGTCAGAACCCCCCCCCCCCCATCGGACCAGTGATATTAATAGAGATCCTTCGGGAGAACCTCGCCAGCAGCAGATCTGCCAGTCACGACTTTCCCTGTCGACTAACAAGCTGAGCTGGTCGCCCCGCTGCTGCTGGAGAGAGGGTCGCTTCGCTAACATCAAAATATTAATAAAGATTTCTGAAGGCTTCCTTATCACCAGTAAAAAGGTTCAAACGGCTCCTTTCAGCCGTGTTTCGCTCGTCTCACAACAAACTAAACATTTATAACAACCACCCTAACAGCATCCATCATGACGTAGTTCAGGTTTGCATCTGGAACTAAAACGACCCCGACCGCAGCAGCTCGCCCCACTTCCTGCCAGCCCTAGCCCTTCTGTTAGATTTTTTAGTCACG